TTTAGCTATATTCGCATATCTGCATGGCATGAAAGCAGGAAGCCTTATTTAAAGGGAAGGGGGACCAGTGAAGAGAGGGAGGACAGGGGAGGGTAGTAGAGGAAACAAAAACAAATATATAAATGAAAATGTCATCATGAAATCCATTGTTTCATACACAAAAATAATGTCAATTTTTAAAAAATAGTTTGTAAAAAGGACGACAGATGTATGGGACAAGATCTCAACCCCACATTGCAGGTGATAGAGTGAGGGCCCACATTGCAGGTGTTAGAGAGAGGGGTCCATATTGCAGGTGTTAGAGAGAGGGGTCCATATTGCAGGTGTTAGAGAGAGGGTCCACATTGCAGGTGTTAGAGAGAGGGTCCACATTGCAGGTGATAGAGAGAGGGTCCACACTGCAGGTGTTAGAGAGAGGGGTCCACATTGCAGGTGTTAGAGAGAGGGTCCACATTGCAGGTGTTAGAGAGAGGGTCCACACTGCAGGTGTTAGAGAGAGGGGTCCACATTGTAGGTGATAGAGAGAGGGGTCCACATTGCAGATGATAGAGTGAGGGTCCACAAAACTGACCACCTACAGCACATGAACCAATCTGTGTATTTGTGATGGTAAAGATGAAAAGCAGATGTTTTCATGGTCACCTGACCCGGCTCATTGTCAACCTCTTCCATACAGAGCCATGACTTCCAGTGTGTTTGCAAAGCAGCACCAATGACAGTCCACACATCAAAGCTATGTGTCTCTGATCCTGGGTGGAAAGAGTTAGGACTCTGTGCTTGTCCTCTGTCCAGTGAGGGTGATCACAGTTCTCCGACAGGCCAATGCAACACATGGCTTGGAGCAGATCCTTAATAACTGGAGTCCATTTTTATTGCCAGCAGTCACTGTGTTCCCTGTGGTTTGGCCCTGAATTACTAACCATATTCACTGAACAGATTTTATGAGCCAAGTATACCATGTATGTGCTCTCTATCCACACTGACCGGCCAGGTGGGTGTTATGGTCTCCACTGCACACATGAAAAGTCTGAAACTCAAAGCACGTAAGTAGCATGCCCAAAGTCACACAGACAACTGGTGACAAAGAGACAACTCATGGTAAGGTTAATACAAGTTTTCTAAAAAGGCCAGCCAGTTAAGCAGAGAAAGACATATACTGCAAGGGGATATAGAGTGACTATGCCGAGGGCTGGCTGCCTGCCTGCCTGCGTGTGTGTGTGTGTGTGCGTGCGTGCGTGCGTGTGTGCATGTGTGTGTTCACCTTCAACCTGTGCTTTTGGCTAGCACATTCATCTACCCAAGGCCCACAATCAAAGCCCATCTATGAAAATGTTCTTCTCTCGAGGGATGTGGTGTTATGAGTTTGAAGCCAAGTTGGTCTACATAGAGAGGTCCGGGCCAGAATAGGACATAAGCCAGGGCCAGCCTGGTCATGAGCACTGTGATTCACGTGGTAAAGTCACTTCAAAGAAAAAGTTCAGCAAAGAGCCAAGGCCATCGGAAAGCACCAGCAGATATATCTGGGTAATGACAAATTCATTTTGAGTCATTACAAAGGGAGATCAAGGGGCTGTGGAGGCGGCTCAATTGGTAAAGTGATTGTCTTGCATATTTGGGTAACAGAGTTTGACTCCCAGAGTCCACATTTTAAAAGTGTCATATTGTAATCCTAGTTCTGGGGAGGCAGACCCTGGCGGTCTCCTGAGACTCACTGTCTTGTCTATTTGGTGAGTTCCAAACTAGTGAAGAATGCTGTCTCAAAAAAAAAAAAACAAAACAAAACGAAACAAAAAACAAGGTAGAGGGAGTCAGCTGAAGCTGTCTTTGGCCCTTCACATGCACACCAACACAAGAATGCACACATACACGTGAAAAAGAAAGGGAGGGGGAGAAGGGGAAGGAGGAAGAAAAGAAGGAAGGAAGGAGGAAGGGAAGGAAGGAAAGAAGGAGGGAGGGAAGGAAGGAAAGAAGGAGGGAGGGAAGGAAGGAAGGAAACCAGGAAGAGGCATACAGGAACCCTTCCTCTCCTTTCTCTGAGGTAAAGCTGGAAAGCCTAAAAGCTTTCATTGAAGAGAAAGCAATCAGCCCAGGCAGACCCCCAGCAACCATAATTGAGCTGCAATCGAAATGGCCTTCGGGAAGTGTACGTGCTGATGTGCAGGCTCAGTTGGGGTGGTTGTCAACGCTAAGTTGTGTCTATCAAGAACTCTACGCTCTCTGAAGAGACTCCCCATTGCTTTCCCTTCTTGGCAGAACCATGCCTGTGAAAGTCAGTATCTTGGAAACCAGATACCATCATTATAGCAGACCCAACTTCCCATCAGATAATCAGCCATGAGTCACACACAAGTAACCGAGCCCCTGGAAGGTAGCGAGACCATGGAGTGGTGTTTTCGGGTGGTGGCATCCTAGCAAATGAGGAGCATTTCCCAATCACTGGTCATGTTCACATGCAGCGCCTTCCCGACCATTGCTGGGGCTCTCTCAGAATGGTTTCTAAGTATCATTATTTACAGGAACCAGGCACTTAGCAACCCAGGCAAGTGGACTGGTTGTCTGTAAGGCTGACTCATGCCAAACAACAAAGCCTTTCAGCTAGGGGGTACTTCCCTGAGTCCTCATCAGACAGGGGAAGCTGGTGTGACACCAACATTAAATGAAGAAGTGCACTAGACCTCGAGAAAACCATGTTTAGTAGGATGGAAAGGGGATTATACTGTGCAAACCCCATCCCTAGTACTCACCCTGAGGCTGCTCACAGTCCCACTGGCAGGTCTGTCCCCTTGGGAACCCAAAACTACATAACCCAGGACTGCTTAGTCAACGGATCGCCTGGGATCTCAGTTCCCACTAGTGTTTCAGAAGAAGCCCCTAGGAAGGGGTGTGATGAAACTGTCTGGGGTCCAAGGTCCAGACACTGCAGAAGGACAAAGCCTATCAGGACTTCCATAGTAAGCACATTTCCAACTGGGCCAGCCTCTTCACAGGCAGGACAGGTCTGAAGCTGAAAAGTGTTCACAGAGACAGCCCCGTGATGAAATGAGCTCATGGTTCCCATAGAGACAGGAGCTGTACACCAAAGGGAAAATTCATGACCCAAAAAGTTGTTTTGATGATGTCCGTGTGTGTGCACTCTGCCAGCTGCAGCATGGGACAGCTAAGGTCCCTTTCTGAGACTTCCAGGCAACATACACACTTGGTCACTCTGAGGGGCCATGTGTATCTTCTGGCCCTGTGTGTATGCATGTGTGAGATGAGGAGCTTATGGGGAGAAGACAGCAAGGCCCCCAACTCTGTGTTTAAGAGTTTCCATTTTATTCCAGAGCTTCTGCGGGGTGTTCTCTGTGGGGAGCCTTGGGTTTCATTTCCTACCCACCCCTAGTTTCTGCTTTCCACTGGGAATGGGGTGAGGAAAAGCTAGCAAGACTTTTTAGGAGAGATCAGAAAAAAGGAAGACTGGCCTATTCCTGTTCCTCTTTCCTTGTATTTCTTTTGTCTCTGAATGTTCTAGAACACCTGACACCTGGTCACATGTTAGTGACCTGTTGAGAAATGATGTCCTGACTCTTCTTTCTTTTTAAGTATTGACTTTGTTTTTAAGTATTCAGTTCTGCTCAGTGGCTTTTAGCGACTAGGAATCCATTGTGTGTGTGTGTGTGTGTGTGTGTGTGTGTGTGTGTGTGTGTGTGTGTGTGTGTACATCAAAGCAGGTGCCCAGAGAAGCATCAGATCCTGCAAAGCTTAAGTGACAGTCTTTTGTGAGCAGCCTATCATCAGTGCTGAGAACTGAACTTTGGTCCTCTGCAAGAGCAGTAATATTTGCTCTTAGCTGCTGAGCTAGCTCTCCAGCCCAACCTGGCCAGGCTCATCTTACAAAAACACCAGTTGGATTACATGAAGGCTCCCTCCAGTGACCCTGTTTTACTTTGATTGCCTCTTTCAAGACCCAGTAAGGCCACACTCCGAGGTTCCTGGGTCAGGACTTGCATCCCAGCAGAAGAAAAGTAGGAAGACAAGTCTTAGTCACGTGCAGAGCCCTACTGCAAGTTTATCTCTGTACTGGGCAAAAGAGACAAGATGAGCAGCCAGCTCTCATTGTGATTGAGTAGGGAATGACAGTTATAGAGGGAGTAAATGACAAGCTGGATGGGTGAATCCTGAGAGGCTTGAAACTACTTCCAGGGTTGAGAGAGCTCAGCAAACTTGACATATAGAAGTCAGATAAGGCAGTGCATACTTGCAATCTCTGCACTGAGACAGAGAGGCAGGAGGATAGGAGTTGAAAGCCATCTTTGACTACTTAGTGTGTTTGAGGCCAGCCTGTGCTACGAGACCTTGTTTAAATACACACACACACACACACACACACACACACACACACACACACACCATGGATTCTTAGCTGCTCAAAAAAAAAACAAAACCACAGAGCAGAAACGAAATCTCCCACAAACTCCATCCCAGGTAACTATGTAGGCAGAGCTGCCAGCCACAGGCCACACACAGCTGCTGTGGGTAACAGCAGAGCTCCTTCCCTGGGATGCTGTCACCTCCTGAAACAAGAGTGAAAGTCGCCACATCCTCAACTGCATCCCCTAAAACGATCTCTGAACCACACCCCAAAACTGTGCCCCTCAGTGAAGCAGTCCATGAGGGGAACAGAAAGTCTGATGCCTGTCACTCCACCACCTAGGTGCTCACTCTTCATGCTTCAGATAACCAGGTGACATCACTCAGCTATTCTCTGTACTGTGAATGCTTACTTAATCTTCAAAGAGAGTTCCAGACTGGTATCTGGTGACTAAACGGAGGTCAGAGTTCCTCTGACATCAGGCATAACCAGCAGGGCAGACCCAATGACAGTTGCCAGCTCTCGGTAACCATGTGCAAATGCAAACTTTGAGCTTCTTCCTGCCCAGTGCCTCTCTCAGGCTACACACACACACACTGGCCATGAGACAGTTTCCCAGTTGCCATCAGTCACCATGCAAGCATATAGATACATGGATTCTGCCTTTTATTGTTTTCCAGAACATTCTCTCTCAAGTTCAAACATTGCCACATCACCACCACTTCTTGGCAAAGCTGCCCTTTATGACCCAGCACAAGGCACAAAAGGCATCAGGCTGGTATTTCCTCTGCCCCGTAGGGATTTTTATGGGGTTTTTATTTGGTTTCATTTTTGCTGTGCTTCTGAGAATTGTTCTTTTGTTCTTCCGTTTGGTCGTGACATCCACTCTCCAAGGAATTCTGTTCAGAAACATCACACAGCTGTTACCTGAAGCATATGCCTCCAGAAAGAGAGCTACACCCACCACCACATCCTCCCAGAAACTCATGGCTTGGAGGACAAAACAAGCCCATCCTCATTGCAGGGCCTTGGGTAAACCAAACAGAGGCAGGAGAGCCATGTCTTCATGCTGGGAGCCTCTTTGTCTGGATTAGTCACCCTAGCAACCATTTGCCTAAGACAGGGACCTGCTCATCACACAGCCAGAATTAGAGCAATTGTTAGATATGCAGTCACCACCACACCACCACCGTGGAGGGGCCACTGGCACTTGCCTGGCTCTAGCAGAAGCCATCTAGGCCATGTCTGGGACTTTGAACTGTCAGTCACTCCCTGGCAGTAAAGCCATGGGTGGTATCAAAAGCCGCCATCTTGTGTGTGCGTCACCTAGCTAGGTGGAGGAAGTTTCTCAAAGACTAGTGATTGAGATCAGAGTTCAAAGGAAGCTGGAGTGAGAGGAAAAGGAGCCCCTGACCTGCATTAGAACCACCAACTACATCAACTCACATCACTCTTACATGTGGCTACAAGTTCTCACTAACTGCGGGGTGACCAATGCTAGCCTGAGCTGGACGAGCTGACCACGCCCTGGTCATGCAATGGCACATATGAAAGGAAGAAAGAAGTGACAAGAGCGTGCTGAGGAGCACAGCACTGAGATGACGGTGGGCAAGCACCAAGGCCCAAAGCCACAGAAGTGTTTGGTAGAGGGGTTCCAAGTCTCTACCGAGTGGGTAATCTTGGCACCGAGGCACTATTGGGCAGAGGCCGTTAGCACCTGGACACGCGGAATGCTTTTAGGACAGGTTTTTAGATGACAACAGTGACAGCCCCTGTTCACCTTGTCTGAGATTGTCTTAACCATGTGTTTATCCTAGTACTGTATCATCAACCTAAGGGTTAAATGAAGCCCAGAGGGTGGCTTCAACTACATCCTCCATCACCCAGAAGGGGCCCTCAAACCTAGCTGCCCCTCCAGAGCCTGAGAATGCCCTGAACTGTGCACAGCTCCAGAAACCTAGCCCTGTACTGTCTGTTCACTGACCACAGGCAGGGCTCCAGTTGAGTCAGAGGGGAGTCTGGCTAGAGGCATGGCTGGAGGATCCAGTTATCCCCTTACTCATCCAAAAGGTCACAGTAGGGGCAGCAGCCTTAGGGGGCAGAACCTCTCTGTTGACTGCAAGTTCAAAGAATGCACAGAAGGCCACACAGTGCCCCCTGGCTCCAACCTCAGAAATGGAGCCGGTTCTGACTCAGAGAGGAAACAAATGCTGAATCACCCTCCACTTCCTCCTCCAGCCCAGCTCAGCCAAGACTAGTGGTGGCTTCCAGGACAGACAGGTGACCACCCCTTGGAAAGCTGTAAGGGGAGCACAAGGCCCACCCTGCCACAGGCCACTAGACCTAGTTTTACCGTGGTCCTCACTCTCAGTATCTTCTAGACACTGGAAAGCTTCTAACAGCCCTGTCCTGTCCTGCCTTGACCTTGGCTGTGTTATTTTTCACTTCCCTGTTCAGAGCACAGCCACACTTTCCAAACATCATGAATCATCAGGGAAGCAACGGCCACTTAGTAAGACAGGAAACCGCTGCACAAAGCCAGGCCTGGACAGAGCAGTTCCTTGCTCTGGCCTCTCCTGCCCCCTGCTCACTGTGACACAAGGTCACAGTGGAGGTCCTGGGGACTGTTGCATCCCTGCATATTTGACCCCTCTACCACCAGCCCTTACCCTGGGCAGCACCAGGCAGCATCTTCGGAGTTCAGTCTCCCCTGCCTGAGCAGTCTAAAATGAAGCCGGTATCTCCCAGTCACAAAGGGAGGGAAACAGGTCAAAATCCAGACTGTTAGAACGACTGGATCCAGCAGACAGCAGAGCCATCAAGTGGCCATGGGGCTTCCTCTTGTAGCCTTGCAATTATGGACAGAAGTCACCCCTGTCATCCAAGCCCGTGTAGATAGACCATGTGCTCTCTGAATAACATTCAGCAAATTCCCAAGAAGTGGTCATTAGTAAAGCCCGTAAAGCAATCAACAATGGGCACTAGGGAAACAGCTCACTAATGCTGACAAGCATAAGGACCTGCGTTTCAATCCCCAGGACCCACGGAAGAAGCAAGAGTAGCACAGTGCTCAGTTCTGGGTAGGTAGAGACTGGAAGCTGCTATGTTTGCTGACATCTACTCTCTCCGATCTATGAGCTGGAAGCACAGTGAGAGACCCTGTCTCAAAAAATAAGATGGGGAAGTGACTGCGGGAGACACCAACATTGGACCCTGTCTTCCCCCTTTGTATGCACACACCTAATCATGTTAAAAACAAAAGCAACATGAACTTGAAGTTTCCCTGACAGGTCATACCTGTCCAAGACAGGCCTTGGGTGTTCTCTGTTCCTGTGGTCTAGGCTCTGATTAGTTTTTCTGAGTTCTAATGGATAAATCACACATGTCTACACTCTCTTAAGTAGCCCCCATGTGGCAGCTGGATGGATCAGGACAGACGACCTGGGTCAAAAGTGTAGACAGGCATAGCAGAGCTTTCTCCTCAAATGCCAAAAATCCAATATGGTAATCAAATCCCAGATTCCAGACATTGGAGAATTAACTACATTAAGCACCACAGACCACTGTTCTGGGTAGCCAAACAGATCCAAATGTCTTGAAAACATATAAATCACAACACTCTAGCTCTTCAAGTCTGGAAACAAATTTTAGAGCCTTAGAGATAATAGAAGTATCTCCTGAAAACAAAACAAAACAACCTTCCCCTGGGGCTGGAGAGAAATCTCAGTGGTTAAGAGTACTGACTGCTCTTGTAGAAGACCCAAGTTTAGTTCCCAGGACCTACATAGAGGCTCACAGCCATCTGTAACTCCAGTTTCAGGGAATCCAGTGTCTTCTTCTGACTTCCCAGGGCATCAGGTATGCACAGGTGTACACACACACACACACACACATGCAGACCAAAATAAAAATAAAAACAAAACAATCTTATCCACATAAGATAAAATAATCTTAATTTTAAAAAACTGTTTTGATATCTCATCAGACATCTATGAGAACCAAAGTCCAGAGAAGTGAAATGACTTGCTGAGGTCATTTAAAGGGACAGAGCCAAGAGAGCTCACATCCTCTGGCTGGTAATTCAAGGTTGTTTTTATTTATTGTAACTGTCATTGCAGTGGGTAGGTGTGGGAGTCAAATCAGATGTCCTTCACGCCCTCTGAAGCTATTCTCATGTTGATCCGGAGTATTGTACATCAGCCTAAGCCTGTGGGAGAGTCTACATAGTATCTGACATTCTTTGGAAATTATGAACTTCTTTGACAGGAGTTTTGCATATAGCTATCACCATATTTTCAAAGGGGTCCTTTACACAGGAAAAACTAAGAATCAGTGAATTAGAGAATGAATGTGTGTGTATGTATATATACATACATACATATGCATATATGTATGTATACATATATACACACATACATATATATATATTTACATTCATGGAGCAAATTTGAGAGGAGGGTGACTTTGGATGCAAAGTTTGTGCCAGCCACTCAATTCTGCCCTTGTACTGTAAAAACAGTATTGAATGTACATAAGCAGATAGTCTGTACCAATAAAACTTTATTAACAACATATTATGGGCTCAACCTAACCCAGGCAATTGTTTGTCCTGAACCAAAGAGTATGATTGTCTTCTTCCTCATTACATCAGATCCTGTAGATATCAGGGAATGAATGGCCCCTATGTTCCTGCCGTGGATCCAGCCCTCATCCAGGAACAGCAAAGGATAAGAAGACGACAAAGAATTTGTTTCACTTTTCCATTAAACGATGACAAGTTCTTTGAATTTCTAATTGGAAACTTTCACACATCACTTGAGGTTGCTGCAACTCACTTCCTGCCACCCACTTACTGTGTGTTTTGAGCAAAACTGTGGTGAAGGACGAGGTGCCCTTTGGCCTTTGGCGGGTGTCTGGAGTGCACTGTCCTGACTCATGGGTAGACAGGCCGCAGGAGAGCTACTGGGACATTCTTCCCTCACCACATAAAGTTCTGACTGCATTCAAACTGGGTTCCAAACTAAGCTCAGAAGGAACTGCAGCACTCCCTCTCCTGTGAGTTAGCACTTTGACCCTGGCAGTAGAGCATTTGTTCTTATCTGGCCCCATTTCTTGTGGGAATCCCTACCCTCAAAGTTGCTCCCTTCTCCCACAGACCTTTGACCATGTATGTTTCTGAAAAGTCATCCATTCTTGATGAAAAGAGGGGAAGCCTCCCTCAAGCTCTGCCCGGCTGCAGTAAGTGGCAGAGAGGCCCCCTGACGTCAGTCCTCATGCTGAGAGTGGGTGAAATGTGAGTCCTTCTGTGGCTGGCCTTCTGAGTCTGCCCTGCAGAAACCCCACTTGCGGTACGGCTGCTTCTCTGTGTTGTTGCACACCTATGTTCGCACTTAAGCATCTATAAACACACATCTCTTAGCATCCTCCCGGTGACCAGGGATGCAAGGAGATGAGGCAGATGCTGAGGCTGTGGCCAAGGCTGTTTCCCACCACATCTCCTGCCAGGCACAGCCACGGCTCCAGTACTTCTGGGGAACTGAAGCCAGCCATTTCTCTTCCTTTCTCTTGTTCTATCAGTCCGCCTTTCTCGGCCTTCCCATGGAAAATCTCAGAGCAGGCCACTTCCTGTTTTTGTTTTGTTTTCCTGCCCTTCTGCTGTACCCTTCGACCTTCTGTCCTGTGTCCTGAACTGAGAACAGGGCGCAGGCATGTGTCCCAGCTCCAAGGAGCTGGCTCAGCAACTGGAAAAGGAAAGGACCCAGGAGGTCCTGCTCATCCCTGCCTGCATGCCTGTGGGCTGAGACAACCACTCCTCTCAAGCCCTAAGCCATTGCCTCATCTAAAGAGAAAGAGAGAAAATGGCTCACAGGGAGGGGAGAGGTGTGGGATCTGTAGGCAGTTAGCGGTACAGCCACTGGTTAGTAGCCCACACACCTGCAAGCAACCCTAATGAAACTCTGCCTCCCACCAAAAAAAAAAAAATGAAGAAGAAAGGGGCCTGGTGAGGAAGAGGCAGAGTGGGAAGGGAGGAGGATGAGAGAGGATAGTGGAGGTGACTGTGATCAAAATAACATTATACACATGTGTGAAAACGTTTTATATGGGGCTAGAGAGATGGATCCACAGTTAAGCATACTGCTTTTGTAGAGGACCAGAGCTCAGTTCCCAGCACCCACACAGAAGTTAACTACCCTCTGGTCCAAGAAGCAGGGCGCCCTCTTCTGGCCTCCTGGAGCACTGCACTCACATGTACACAAATTCACAAAGGCTCACACATTTGTAAATTAAAAATAAATAAATCTTTAAAAGACAAACCAGAAGCCAGGCAGTGGTGGCACATGCCTTTAATCTCAGCACTCGGGAGGCAGAGGCAGGTGGATCTCTGTGTGTACGAGACCAACCTGGTCTACAGAGCTACACAGAGAAACCCTGTCTCAAAAACAAAAATAAACAAACAAAAAAAGGTAAACCAAGAAAATGTCATAATGAAACTCATTAATGTATGAAATTAATATATGTTAATTTAAAGCGTTTTTAAAAGGCAGATGAGAATATGAAGGTTTGGTTTGGGCGTACCCACGCTAGATGCAAAGGTAAACATTTGCTTTTGAGTACTGACACTTCTTGACTCGCTCTCATTTGCTGCTGTGTGATCTTTGCTTTGCTTTCCCCATTGGCTCCACTAGGACCATGTCCATTTCTTCTTTTCTTCGACACTTGTCCCCTTAGCCTGGCCCTGCACGGTTGGCATGTTTGGAGCCCTCGGGCACTGGCCAGGGATCACTTCTGGAAGACTGCTTAGGCTGCAGAATGGATTCTTCGCTTTATTTCTTCCGCACCTGCCCCAGGCACAGACCAGATACAGATAAGGATGCAGAGCCGAGGACATCCCCCCACAGGCAGAAGAAACTCTTGCTAAGTTGGTCGGGAAACCCCAGAAGCAGAATGTAAAACAGCCCTTGACGGGTTAACCAGCATCCATTATACAGGGAGTTTCCACCATTTCCACCAACCAAGAACGAGAGCAGACAGGCCACCAAACTCTCGAGCCCCGCAGTTTGAGAAGGGTCTGCCAAGGGAAGCAGCTGAGGGAGGCCGAGCTTAGCTTTAGGTGGTGTCTGTGATGAATGTTTCCCGCTGGAAATAGCCTGTCCGGTTCGTCCCTTTTCACAGAAAGTTCCAAACAAAGTTTTTGTTCATCATGTCCTGAGGCGGCCCTCAGTAGCACACTAAACATCTAGGGGAAGGGAGGGTGCTCTTGGTAAGCACCAGAATCGTCTACAGAGTCACTAGCAGGGTATGCTTCTTCTGGCCTTGGAAAGCATGGCGACACCCTTTGTTGAGTGGACCTTTGCAGAAATCGGTCAGGCCTGCGCGTACCTCTCAGAGGGATTTACAATGTCAAGTTCCCATCGGGGAAAGAGACTGACTTATTCTGTTAATAATAGCAAAGGCCGTAGTTTTCCACCTTGAACTATACAAGCGTCACCGGGAAGAAAACCAAAACAAAACATTATCTTTGGTTGAAAACATTGTCAGCCTTTTTAAAAAGTGAACTGGAGATAAAACAGACGATCCTCTGGAAAAGCCTCTGCAAGTGCCACAGCTGGAGATAGCAGATGTTGGCCTTGTCTGCAAAAACCTCCCCAGCATTTGCTTGCTTTCAAGAATAGCTAAGAACAGAAAGCCAGGTGGAATGACCTCAACTCTTCTAGGCTTCTTGAACTGGTGACCAGATCAAAGCACTGCACCAAGAAAGGCAAGGAAGCAGAGAGAATTCATCTAAGGGTGAGCTGGAGAGACGGCTCAATGGGTAAGAGCACTGGC